TTAGGTGGTGCCTTGGATGATTTTCATGCGGAACTCCTTCCTGAGGGCAAGGCGAAGTTCATCAAAGAATTTCAAAAGGAAGCACGGACAGGAATGATAGGTGATGGTCTAAATGATGCTGTTGCATTAGCTACTGCCGATGTTGGCATCTCAATGGGTGTTTCTGGTTCGGCACTTGCCATGGAAACGGGAAACATCATCCTCATTTCAAATGACCTTCGAAAACTACCATATGCAATAAGGCTAGCAAGAAGGGTGAAAAGAAAAGTTGTTGAAAATGTCATTCTTTCCATCACTATTAAGGTGGCTATCCTTGCTCTTGCCATATCGGGGCATCCCTTGGTTTGGGCGGCTGTGTTTGCTGATGTTGGGTCGTGCTTGATTGTTGTTATGAACAGTTTTCTTCTTCTTCGAGGAAGAACAGCTAGGCAGGGAAAAAACAAGTGTTGCAAAGCATCTTCTGTGTCCCACCATAGACACGGCAAATCCTCCCACAGTCACCAACAACCGTGCTGCAAGTCTCCAAAATCTGTTTCCGCTTCTGGAAATAAAAAGTTGAAATGTACCATAAACTCGCATCATCACGACGAGCACTCTAACTCTGATATAGAGCATGACCATTGTACACCGAATCAATGTGGTGGCTCACTTCGAATTCACAACCATCATTTATCAAACAATACGGTGGTAGAAGAAAAACATCATGAAAACGATAATCACAACTGTTGTGGAAGCACATCATTGGATTTGGAAAAAAATGATTCTTGTAATAATCATCACTGTGAAGCTGAAGAAACACATGTGGGGGATCATCCTACAGAATGCAGCAGTACACACACATCAGCAGTTAATATTAAGAATAACTGTCATGACCATGTGGACCGTCGTGCTGCTCTTAAGACACTGCAAACGCAGCATTTGGGGGCTTGCTCTCAGAGTTGTAAGAATGAATGTGGTGATAAAGACTTTCACTTAGGGTCCAAAAGTGGAGGAAAATTGTCAGAAATAGTCATAAGTAATTAATTCAATGCTTGATGGCTATATACATTTTTGAAGCGTTTCTCTATTTTCTTATGCTAATTGTTATTTATGTACTAATATTATTTTACAATTTTGGCAAAACATTTGTATTTTGATGTACTGTATAACCTGTACAGAACGGAGTATAGTATGTAAATGTCCATTGACCTTGTACATATACTAATTTTGGGCATGTCATGACCAACTCAACATTTGCTTGTGTTTTTTTCAATGAGTACGACAATAATGATAAAATGCAATTTGTGAAGACTTTGATTTGAGTATGATATTTGATATTATAACTTTAAGAGAGTACAAAAATATATGCAATAATACAAAAATTACAGTGGAGTGTAAATGTTTGTTTAGCCATTTGGTGATTATTATTGAATGAAGTGAGGAACATCCTTTAGTTGACCATTGAAGTATTTCACATTCCCATGAAATATAAATTAATAGTGTTATTTAAAAAATCTTCAAAGTGTTTTCCTAAGCAAAGAGTTTTCATATCTACTTTCATCTTTTGATCTATGCCCGTACGTTTCTTCCTAGCGGCTTAGCGTCGAGTAGGGTTTTGTCTCCGAGACGGAGCCTCCATTTGAGTCAAATGATTTGACGATGCGTGACCTTCTCCATTTGACGGCTCCCGGGGCGAAGCTGTTCTGACAGCTTGCTATATTCACCCTCAATTCCCTTAAACTTTGAAGTTCCTGAGAAGAAATGGTCAGGAAAAGAGCTTTTCCTCTTTTTTTATCCAAACAAGAGTAAATATATACAACAAATTTGCCACCTCTAAGGATTCCAAGAAGAATGTCTCTCACCTCTTGGGGATCAAACAGGCACCCCAAGCCTAGTTAGCTTTTTTCCGTTTTAAACGCGTTTTAAACATGTACCGTTTTTTTGACAAAAAAACACGTTTAAAAAGGAGGGAAATGTCGGTCCGTTTAAAAAAGAAAAAAACTCCTACTTCCCGTATAAAACGTATTTTACAAAAAACATAAACATGAATTGACCAATTGAATGAATGCACTAAATGCATAGAAGATCAAGAATAGTGTAAAAGTAAAAATGAAAACGTCCTCCTCATGATCTCGTGTTTTTGTATTGTTACAGTGCAATTATTAAATACTAAAATTAATTGCATGATGGCTAAAGCTAGCATCCTAAAATACTAAAACTTAAGTAGTAATATACTACAAGATTTCTGATGTTTTTTCAAGCTAGCATATCAAAATTAAGATATTTCTAAACCTACCGTTTTTTTAGCATAAACTTTTACACAAACAATAATAAGTGTAGCAATCACACAACTTTTGTCATATGTCATCTGTCATCTTAATGAAAATGATGAGTTTAACTTGAGTGTTATTTGATAATCATATAAAGATAATGATTTTTTGACATTATTTTTCAAAATTATGTCTTGGACTTAATTACTATTTTTATTTTTGTCATCGACAGATGACTTTTACGAACTATTCTTGTACGTAGTAATGAGATTTGCTACTTGAATATGTGTACACTTTTATTTCTTTTTTACTACTTCGTATATATGTTATTTTATGAAATATATCATTTAAATGTTCAAAATAATACCCGTATTTTTTGTCCAAATTTTTGTAATAGACAACGTATTATACACGTATGCGTATTTACACGTTTTTTAAAAGTCAACGTTTTTTTCAACGAATTTTTGACCGTTTTTTTCATTCATGTTACCGAATAAAACGCGTACGTATTAAACCTCGTTTAATTCCCGTACCGTATTTAACTAACTAGGACCCCAAGAAAGCCAAAATTATTGAGGATATGATGAGAAGGTTTAGAAATGGAAAGATTTTTTCGTTATGAACGGAAAAGGAAAATGCTCCCCTGCGGCAAGGTACTCCCGCGCGGCAGAGGATCCCCCATCCATTTTTTTTTAAATCAAATAACCATTTTATTGAATATCAAATCTTAACAAGAAGCATAACAACTAAAAGCCGAAACATTACAATCATAGCGTTCAATACTACACTAGGGTGAGACAAAGAGCAAAAACGACATATAAAAGCACTCATGTTCGCTAACCCTGCAATAATGTAGACTCGTACCGCAGTGTGTCTGCTCATGCTACTCGAAATGGGTTCGGCTTGACCAGCCACCGAAAAGGAATTATTGAACTTACCGGTTTTCTAGCCACCGCTAAAGAGCCAATGTGCAGAAATTGTTCCGGTTTGACCAGCCACTGGAAAGAAAGCAATCCATCCAATGTCATCTTCCTGGATCGGTGGTGGTTCAGGAGGGGGCGATCGGCCTCTATATCGATGCAGAAGAAATCCTGATTCATGATTGATAAAGAAGTCAATACAAACCTCTTACTATCACACAAGAACATCTGACCGATGATGACGGGGAATATAGATCTGGCGAGCGACACTTCGCCACCGAAAATAATATTTCTAGACAACGCTAGGAAATAAACGTATAGATAGAACTGAAAATAATGATTAAACGAAACTTTTCCACGATTGAAATCAAAAGAAGAGAAGAAAAGAATGAAGGAAGAGGATGAGGTTGCTAGGGTTTCCCTTCGCCACTCCTCTCCCCTTGGAACGTAAAATCTCATTCTAGCATTTTTCCGCTTCTAAAGTAAGGATGTTTTTACTTGGACTGTAATTTGTCCCAGACCAGACCAATTCAGACCAGACCAGACTTGAATAGTTATAAAAATACAAGAAAACCAGACCTTACCAGACCAGACCAGACCAGCAAATTACAGTCCAAGTAAAAACATCCTAAGCCTCCGTTAATTGAACAAAGCTCATATAAAACCATAAATTCATATTCGGGAAAGTTCCCGAAATGGGACTAAAAAAGTTCGAAAATTCCAAAATAGGACTGTCATGTTTTTATTCCCAAAATAGGACCAATTACTGCCAAATTTGGAAAATACTGCCATATTTGAAGTCTGGTATTGCCAAAACATGACAGTAATTAGTCATATTTTGGGAATAAAAACATGGAAGTCTTATTTTGGAATTTTCAAACTTTTTTAGTCCCATTTTGGGTAATATCTCTTCATATTTCGTAGTTTTGAAAGGTTAATTAGGGCTGGTTTGCAATCACTTAATTTAAGTGATTGTGATTTTTTTTTAAGAAAAAAGCACTTTTTTATCAAACATTACCAACTTTTACTTTTCCCGGCTTCCGTGTAGAATCTACTTTTTATTTTTTCTATTATACCAAAAACACTTATTTCACCAAACACTATCAACTTTTACTACTAATCACTTTTTTCCCAAAAAGTGCTTTTATTTAAGTACAATCACTTACAAGCAAAGCCAAAAGGCTCCCCATGATTTTCCAAATAGATAAACTTAACACAGAAACATCAGATTCAATTTTTTTGGCTTTCAACATGGTTTATATTTTCCAAAAAGGTGAAACATGAGGTTTGAGAAGTTTTCTACTTTACAGTCAATCTTTTTCTATACGGTCCAAATTGAAATTAAGGGGCGTTTGTAACTGATTCTGTTTCTGCTTCTTTTTTAAAAGCAGAAGCAGAATCATTTTTCAGAAGCTGGTACCCCCAACTTCTAAAAAAACTGATTCTGCGAGTAAATTAAAGCTCCAGAAGTGCTTCTGGAATTTCACCCAAACACTCCAGTTTCTGTTTTTGTTCCCTGAAGGAGCAGAATCATATCCAAACACCCTAAGTTAACAAAATTAAAAAGGGGCAAAATGGTCTACCTACGTTACGTATAGCAATCCGGGCGGTGCGCCTACCTATCCCCTTTGATTCTCTTTCTGTTTCCGCAAGGAAACTCTTCATCCAAAGAAACGAGCAAAAGAGAACTAACGCTCTGAAGGAAGATATACCTAAATCTCCCATGGAAGAAGAGGGAACACAGACCCAGCAACTAGTTCTAGCTAAAAACATCTCCCTGCTTACCCACTCCGCTGTGGACGACCTGCAGAAAGTGCACCTTCGCGATGAGGTCTACAGTGTGATCGTCTCCAATGGTATCATTAGTTGTTTCTACTGAATCCTGAGTTAATTGGACTTTTTTTGTGTGAGATTTGGATATGACTGTCTTCGATTTGGCCGCAGATATGGCTCCCTTGTATCAAACCCTAGCCGCGGACTCGGTACTGACCTTGGATCAGAAGGTCCTTGATTCAATGAGGGCTAAGATTGAAGAGGAGCTAAAAAAGCTTGATGAAAAGTGAGCTTGCAGTGTTCATTTTGCATTACATTATATCGGTGGATTAAGTTATATCATTTACGCGTTTGATTTATTTGACGACCAAAGGCTTCGTTCGCAGTGAAATTAATTAGAAATTTATAACCATTAAGTCAAGTAAGAAATTAATGCATGATTGCCTCTTATCATCCGGAAATCCCTTGTTTTGGGCTGCGAGAAACAACCTTCAAAGTTGTACTAGTAACTGTATGCGTCATATTTCCTGGGTAACTTGTAATATTTCCAAAAGCTAGTCTCCATTCTTTTGCTTTCTTTTGGAATCGTTTGAATGTTGTTAAATTGTTATGAGCTTGAAAAGGCTATACTGATTTTTGCTGAGCAATTACTATAATGTTTTGCCTTTTTTTTTATACTCCGTATAAGTTTTCTGCACATATTATTTTGATTTCATGTACATTAAATTCTAATTTAAAAAACTGCTTCCAGTCTCCTCCCCTTAATTAGTGATTGTTTTCAGTTCTATTAATTAATTAATTAATTAATCAGTTTATGTATTTGTTTATAGTTTTGTGAGGTGTTTTCAAAATTGCAATCATCTTCTTTAGTAAATACTGTCTCAAATCGGATATCATATATCTAGGATTGCTGACGCAGAAGAAAATTTAGGGGAAAGTGAAGTTAGAGAGGCTCACCTGGCGAAATCCCTGTTTTTCATTCGTATCGGTGACAAGGTGAGAACTACTAATTGTTTATTTGATGGAAATTAAATTGTGCTTTTTTGCAATTTTAAACATGGATTAATTGTTCACTGTAAAACTCAGGATAAAGCACTGGAACAGCTCAAGCTGACTGAGACAAAAACGGTTGCTGTTGGGCAGAAAATGGATTTGGTATTTTACACACTCCAGATGGGTTTCTTTGATATGGACTTTGACCTAATTTCAAAAAGCATTGACAGGGCAAAGAAGTAAGGGTGTAGCTAATTTTTAGGCAACATCATTTGTAGTTTTCAATTGTTTCTAATGTTGTTTTCAATTGTCAACTTCGTTTTTAGCTTATTATTATCGTCGATTTCCTTGAATGGTAGGTTATTTGAAGAAGGAGGTGATTGGGAACGAAAGAACCGGTTGAAGGTCTATGAAGGACTCTTCTGCATGTCAACCCGCAACTTCAAGAAAGCAGCTGACCTTTTCCTTGATTCTATTTCAACATTTACAACCTATGAGCTTTTCCCTTATGATACTTTCATATTCTATACTGTTCTCACAAGCATTATTACATTGGATCGTGTTTCCTTGAAACAAAAGGTATCAAAATGAGGTTTTAAATCTTTTTTTCAGTACTGGTGATTTCTTTCTAGTTATTATTCCTTTTATAATGTGTGGTACATGTTACAGGTAGTCGATGCACCAGAGATCTTGACAGTTATCGGAAAGATACCTTATCTTTCTGAGTTTTTGAACTCGTTGTACGATTGCCAATACAAGGCATTCTTCTCTGCCTTTGGTAAGTATATTTTTGTGTGTGACCTATCTCTAAATATGTCAATGCGAATGGAAATGAATTTTATGTGCTTTTATTTTCTCTCTTTAGATTCTGGAAGAGTTACTTCTAGATATGTTCTTATTAATCTTAGTGGTTCGTACTCTGTATTTTACTATTTGATACTCCCTCCGTCCCCTTTTAAATGTCCCGGAAGAGGGTGACACGAGTTTTAAGAAAAGTGGGTTTGTGTGGTTGATATTAATTGATAAAGTAAGAATAAAGTAAGAATGATTTTGAGTCACACAAACTTTACCAAATAAGGTATGAGACAATTAAATAGGGACATCTCAATATGGTAAAACGGGACATTTAAAAGGGGACGGAGGGAGTACTTTGCAGTAGTGTGTGAACATTGCAGAAGTTACAAGCTCTGGCATTATTTATGGGTTAGAAAATATTCTATGTAAGGATTGGAGGAAGGTGTAATTTTGTGGATTACACACCCACACCAGTCCCAGCGAGTATGGTTATGATTTTGGTGATCATGGGTATGGATGTCAGTGTCAAACCTGCCATGAGTTATGATGCCTTTAAACTCTTGGGGAATGGTGTTTTGGCGTTTAAGAACTAAAGAAAACCTTCAGGAAACTCTAAGGAAACCTTATGAGACCTCTTTTTTGTTTAAAAATTATTTTCCCTGCATTTCATGTTTCCATGTTACCTAGACCATGGGTAATCGATAGGTGGTGGAGACAGTTTTGCTTCTTACTGCTGTTGAGATAATTTTAATACAGAATACATAATTAATTATATATATGCATATAATTACATATGGCTTGGATTAAACAAGCCAGAGGAAGAGACAAGTGTGTATCCTTCTTGAATCTCTGTTCTTTGCCGGAGGGGGCACAGAAAGCCTGAGATGGGCTGTCAAATTAGGAAACTGGACCAAGAATTAGGGGGTGTTTGGAACTGATTCTGCTTCTGCTTCTTTTTTAAAGCAGAAGCAGAATCAGAATCAGATTTCCTGATTCAGAAGCTGGTACCCCCCAGCTTCTAAAAAAACTGATTTTGGGAGTAAATTAGAGCACCAGAAGTGCTTCTGGAATTTCATCCAAACACTCCAGTTTCTGCTTTTGTTCCTTGAAGGAGCAGAATCAGTTTTGAGAATCAGATCCAAACACCCCCTTAATCTATCATAAAGAAACACGGAGGTAATAATGAAATGGTTCGAGTGTATTACAAGGAATTGGTGCATACATGAGCAAAAAAGAGAACAAAATGAAGTAGCACAAGAAATGTGAAAAGGGGTACATGAGGAGTGTAATCATACAGGAGAAGCAGTTGTAATGAAGGTTTCCTTATACGTAGTAGTTTCCTAAAGGCTTCATCAAAGCTTCCGAAATGCGGAAACATCACCCATGATGAGTTTCCAGGCCTCATAGTTAGAAAATAATGGGAAATGTTTCACGTGCTTTAGTAATAATATGTGGAGTATTGTTAGCGGAACATTCTATATGGACAATCTCGCATTGAAATCAATTGCATGCAATAGTAGCAGCGCGGAGCGAAGCAGAAGATGGGCGCTACAAGAGATGTCATGGTATTTTTTGGGTTTTAGCAGGTTTAAAGGGGTAAAGTAGTTTTTCTAGAATAAAAACTAACCATATTAAAACTCTTCTACGGATGTAAAACTCATCCTGGCCTTCAAAAAACAATTCTTCTCTGGGTCTTCAATGACTACTATCCCGATTCATCTTTCGATTATGTATGTCTCCAACTCCTCCTCCTTATACTTTCAAACATTCTACATCTCAGTCAGGAGCCTACTGGAGTTATTACTTACCTTTCTTGGTAGTGGAATAGTATGATAGATTTAAAAAGACAAGAGTGTCACCTGTGATTTAGGATTTCAGGATCAATGACTTTTTACTAGTACTTTAGTATTCATGAATATGATGAACTTTGAGGTTTATCATTTTTTTGTCATATGTGTAGCCAATATAGGTTTTTGCATATTTATGCATTCTATATATGAGTTGTATGAATAGCTGTCATCACGCTATCTGCTTAACTGCTATCCGGGATTGACAACACTGCATTCGAGTGACATACTCCTATGTGACACACATTCATTGGATGATAATCACATATGAATGTCTCTCTATAAGTCCAAATATCTTGTCCCCTTTGCACCAATCTTATAGATTTGCATGTTACGTTAACCATTTTCGAGTGCAATGTGATACTGTTAGCTTGTAAAATGTACCAAAGTAGGTATGTGATGCATGCATGTTGCTATTATGCCTATTCTCAAAAAAAAAATTTCATATGATAGAGAGTACTTTGCACAATTAATTTCTTGTCGGTTGTGTATAATACTTTGCACTATTAAGCCTATTCTCTGATGTGAAAGTCTTGCATGTACATCTTACTGAGCAATGTCTCACGTTTCACTAACTTCAGTGTATATATGAAAGCACTGCTTTTCATATAGAATATCTATACTTACCTAATTGTTTTATCGAAATTGATTGTAGCTGGCATAACAGAGCATATTAAATTGGACCGCTATTTGCACCCACACTTCCGATATTACATGAGGGAGGTGCGAGCTGTTGTGTATTCCCAGTTCTTGGAATCCTACAAAAGTGTGACTATTGAGGCAATGGCAAAGGCATTCGGTGTGTCTGAGGACTTCATTGATACGTATGTTGACACTTTTACACTGCTCCGAGATTCCATTATGGCTATTAGTTTCCATCAAAAGTATCCCTGATTTTGAGTGTTTTTTTTTGTGGGCAGCGAGCTCTCTCGGTTTATTGCTGCTGGTAAGCTACATTGCAAGATCGACAAAGTTGCTGCAGTGTTAGAAACAAACCGCCCTGATGCTAAGAATGCTCTATATCAGGCCACCATCAAACAAGGAGATTTCCTATTGAACCGAATCCAAAAGCTTTCGCGAGTTATTGATCTTTAAGGCATTATCCTCTTGCTCTAGCACAACATTCCAGATGTAGTCATTCACCTCCCCTTGAGCATCAAAATATGGTTCAATTTTATTCTGTGACAAAAGAAAAGACCCAATCTGATCACTTATGTTCTTTTATTTTGTTTGAATTGAGACGTTTACTTCCCACATGGGGTTTCACGTCTAGATCAACATGCTATGCAAACGACCAATCGTATTACCATTTATTTACTCTTCTGGTTGATGCCCATTTAGTGCATGTGGCTATTTTAACTACTTATGTCTCAACCGCTACGGTAGTACGGTATGAATGCAAGTATGTAACTAATTACACAAGAGAAATCCAGCGATTAGTTAAATTGACTAAATGGTTCAGCCTGATGCCCTGAATCCTCTTATATGGTCATACCATTTTTGACTTCTTCTGATTCAACCGCTAATTTCATCATTTTTTCTCCCACGAAACATGTGGACCATGTGGTGTTGATAAGTGGTACTCCAATCTAGGGTTGGACTGAGCCCGGGTCGGTACGGGCTATGGGTGGGATTGGGAAATTGGGCTGCAGGCCCGGTACCGGACTGGGTTAGCGCCGGGCTTGGGTGAGGTCGGGTTCATATATTTTATTTAATGCTTTTCAAATTAATTCCCCCCCAACCACCCAGCCTCACCCTCCTAGGAGTCCTAGCCGAAGACCAAAGCAAAAAAAAAAATGGCCCGAACTGGTTTCGGACCGGCCAGGCCGGTCGCCCATTACCCTATCCCGGGCCCCGGTTAGGTCTCAGTCCGGGTCCCGGCCGGCCGGTTTGGGGGCGGTACCGCACAGTGGCGGTCCGGGCCGGTCCGACAGGTCCTGATCCATCCCTACTCCAATCTCCATAATATTTAAGAGAGGATTATTCCTGTCCGCTCGGTTCGGACAGGAGCCCCGTCTGGTCTCCGCTGTTTGGGGTTGTTATCGGTGGTATTTTTTGTTGAATTTTGTTTTGTATGTTCTTCACTAAGTCTAGTTTACTCATACTAAATTTCAGCTAAAAATTCAATTGAGAAGATAATAAATTGATTTTTGAAAGATAACCACGTATTATACGTATATGATGGGTGCAGTTAACTTCCAAAAATCATTTGACTGCGTTCCCGATTGAAATTTAGCTAAAATTTGGTACAGATAAACTAGACATGATGAGTAACATACACACAAAAATTCAACAAAAACCCACCGGGAACTGCTCCAAAAAAGCGGAGGTTGGACGGCACTCCTGTCAGGAAATTCCGGACATGAACAACACTCATATTTAAGATATCTTAATAGAACTTCAATTAGTTGTTTTATACGGACTAATTTCATTAAAATACACTGATTATTCATCATACAAAACTAAAAATCACTTCCCAAATATTTTGTCTTGATTTTGTCTTCAATTACTTTTTTTTTAAGTTAGGGTATGGGTGGGTAGAAAAAAATGTATTTTTAAGTTAGGGTAGGGGTGGGTGAAGTACTAGAGTATGGTGCTACATCCATTTATATATGTATATTTAATGTATGAATAAGGGCCGGTCCTGCAAATTTATGGGCCTATGGGCGAGATATACTATATTGGGCTTATACACAAGATAAACTGTAAATTATACATATTTAAAATATGAATTATAACAAAATTATCTAATAAGGTCAGAAAATAAAATCCCAAAATCACTTTACTGTTATTTGAATTACATATTTAGGCAAAGTAATAACACGAGTATTACTAAAAAAGAAAACTATTACTTAAATCGTTTCTCGCGGAACAATGTGAAGCAAAATCATCTATATTCGCTTAAAAGGAATAAAAAATCATTAAAAGGTAAAGAGATGTGAAGACTTGAGAGAGAGGTCTTATATTGATTCATTGTGTTGCTTTAAAAACTACAATCACTCTCACTTAAAATTAATGTATATTCGTCTTTTAAACTTGGTTTCGTTTAAGACATTTTACTTATGTTCTATTTTTTTCAAATTGTCAACAAAGTTTAAACATTAGGCCTATTTAATTGAACTTAAAAATAAAAAAGAAGCATATTCACGCTATATATGGAGAAAAAAATTGGGCCTATTTTTGTCTCTATATATTTTCGGACCTAGGGCGGTCGCCCTTGTTGCCCTCCCCAGGACCGGCCATGTCAACTATGATGCACTAAAGTGAGATATTTGCATGAGCTATTCTCTATCCATATACGGAGTAAAATGTAAGTTAACTGATTATTTGAGAGAAAAAATGTATTTTTAATTGTAACATGCTTATATTAAATAAATAAAATAATACGAATATGGAAAAGTAGACAAAATGTCATGACCGAGCGTTAATCGTGGGAAGTCAATAGCCCCTTTAGGAGCAAATATGACTTCTCGGCCACTCAACGGATAAATCTAAGCCAATAGTGGTCAATATGGTCTCTTTGGTGTAAACTTGTAACCTTGATCCACCAGTGAAATGGGAACTTTAATGTTGGAGTGAACTCAACCAAAATAATGCCATATAAGTCCATCGTAATAAATTCTTATACTAAGTATATCTTAGTAGTTAATTAAAATGAAGCCATAAAATAGTGCAAGGTTGGGAAAAGAAAACCAGAAGATAATAAATATTGCAAAATATTCTTAATTGCTTCATTTAAACTAATCGGTGCAAAATTATAACTTCCATTTTTGTTTTTTTGTTTTTAACCCTTGTCAAATATGCAATTTATAACATATATTTATTTGTGTGCGGACAAGGAACTTGAGTCTGCAAGAAGAAAATATGTATGATGCAAATATGAATGATGCTTAAAGACGCCTAACTGCCTAAGTGGTTTGCACAAGCTAGATCAAAATGTATGTGACAAACATTAATTTTGTATGAGATTGACATTAGTTGTGAGTAATAAAATATCAATTGTTTGTTAAATCAAATCTTTTTGAATGGCAAGTCATATTGTAAACCAATTAATAAGTACACTAATGTACACATAGTTGTTAAACACATTCTTAACAAGTCGACTTAATTGGTCCAATTAATCGGCACCTACTAGGCGGTCTTAAATGTAGAAGACTAATCGGCCCGACCGGCCAAACAATTGACAATTTGACATAGTCGTCACCTAGCGTCTAGGCATCTCTGAGGCTCCTCAATTGCCTGATTAGTGTCTAGTGAGTTTTAGAACAACGGTTAAATATGGAGTATATAGTTTTGATTATTAGTACTCTCCTCTATATTTAAATGGTTTTAGTAAAACATGTAAAAATGCACATTTTGAAAATTTACACCGAGATTATGACACAAATTTTAAGTGCTTTGTATAACCTGTTTTATTTGAATGAAATCAAACTATATACTATCGTATTATTAATCATATCAAAGTTCATGGCACCCCAAATGTGACAATTAGTCATAGATGAGCCGCCAATCTCACTAATTCATGAGTGACTCGGTTCCTTTACAGTCAGTCTTACATGAACATAAATATTAGTGAAATTAATCATTGTATCTCTAATATCATCAATAATAATAAAAAGAAAAAACACCAATTGTATAACCTATTTTGTTAACACATGAACAAAATGTAATTGAAGTATGGTAGGTGGATAATATAAAATTGAACTTATTGTCATTAATAAATGTATAATCTATAATGTGATGCTACATTGCTACCTACTATAGTACTCCGTAATATAGTCCGCAGTAAAGTAAAATGTGGAGTAGGTAGTACCGAGTAACTTTTTTACCGGTGAAGTAAGATATATTCTCGACTTCTGGAGTCTCCCCCTTCAGCTGCTTCAATGGCTTCATTCACATTGCTCTGCTATGCCATACATTTGCTCCTCATTTCGGGGAAAATCGCTGCCGACGGACTTCCCAATCCCGCCGGAACAAGAAAAAACGATGATGCCATTTCCGGTTCTGAGTTCCCTCCTGATCCATCTTTGTTGCTTCAACTCGATCAGCTCAAGTCAAAGATTTCTCTATTAGGTCTTTCTATCTCTCTTTCTCCGCATCTTCAATTTTAATATAGCACCAAATAAACGCCGAATCATTTTATTCACTACTTTTTAGTTCTTTCACAATAGCATTGTTTTTTCCGCCTGTTAACAAGAAAATTGATAAGTAGTTGCTCTTACGCAAATCGTATCATGAACCAATGGATTATTATATAATTTAGTTCAACCATTAGAGTCTAACGCACCCTTTTTGTGTCTGGTCAAACTGATGCTATTATCAGTAGTGTTATATTTACATATATTTGTTCTCATTGGATCATGATCATTCTTATGATACATTCTTTCTATGTGTAACTGAACAAATTTTGTTACTTGCATGCAAAAGAATCAAGCCTTAATGAAAAAGTGGACAGGCTACGCGCCAGTGATGAGAAAATTGACGAGTTAGAGAAGATCCTGGCATCAAAATCTACATCATTGGAGTCATTGAAAAGAGAAATTCAATTGATCCAGGTTTTCTTTTTCTCTGAAGCCATAATAGCCTAATATTTATCATGTAAAGTATATAAGTACATATGTTTGCGTACATCAGGGTGGCATTAATTTACTCTTATTCAGGGGAAAAACACACTACTTCTGTTTTGGAATTTCACAAGCTTTTACTATTATTTTGGGAAATTTCCCTATTTATTAACATCAAAACCAATATTTCAAAGCATCTAAGTTCTATGGGAATGGTGGTGTGGATGTGGTAGTCTGTGGGGTTGAAGGAGAAACACCTAAGATGTAATTTTCCTGCCTGACAGGAGAAAGGATCCTTCGATGCAAAAGAGCAGGCTGATAAGGCTAATGCACACTCTAGTGAACTTGTGAAGCAGGTTAGTTATGTTCTATTCAATGAATGAGATTCCTTTGTTTGTAACCTCTAATGTTTTGTGTCTTACCTGCAGATTGATATTCTGAAAACGGAAATAGAAATACAAAACAAAGAAAAGGACAATCTTGTTGGCCGCACAAAAATAGCAGAGGAGAAAATTCACGAGTTGAATCTAAAACTTGAAAATGTATCTTCAGGCCCTTTTAATTGTTTCCCATAACAAATGCAATTCGTAAATTGTTAACAGTAGTGGACTATCTTGTTATAGTAGTATGTAACTCTGTATAATTGAAACAATTTTACTCCATTGCCTTTCTTCCTCAATTGGAAGCATATCTAATATTTTCATCTCCATTTCAGTTACAAAGGATAAATGAAGAACAAAAATCAAGGATCCTTAAAACTGAGCATGCTCTTCTTGTAGCAGAGGTCTATTGCTGCTTACTTTTCTAGATTAGTAGCGCTTGAGGTTGATTTCATTTCATAAGTGCTAATGCTCCACTGACCACAGGAAGAACTGATGAAAGCTAAAATTGAGGCTTCTGCAATGTCTAAGAAGCTTCAAGAGGTA